GAGCGAAAGAAAGAAAGTCAAAAGCAAAGATGGTGGAAAGGCATCAGTCTGCATCTTACTGACGTGGCCCGTTGTCCTGCTCTCTCCTCGCTGATGTCCTGTCTTCTGTCTTAATACCCAGTCAGACCAGAAACAGAGGGAACTTCATCTGTTCATTACCATAAAATAAGTGGTTTGAGGGAGTGGTGTTAGTTTTGGTCGTGGCAAAATGCATATGAAGGGGAAAATTCACGTGTCAAAGATGATTGAACACCACATAAAAGCAGTATGCAAATTTGTTAAGCAGTTCCTTTTGAAATAAATGGTCTTGGCCAGACATTTGGTGCAGTAGTTTTTGCTTTTTGAATCACATTTAGCTCTTGATGATTTCATTAAAGGCTTAAAGGCTTTACATGTGATGCTCACTACCATAGGTTTAAAGAGTTAAAGCCAATTTATACTTTCCGCATTAGCGTGGCTTGAAAGGTCTGCATGGATGATGTACATTTACCCTTGTCCACAATAGTCTGTAGGGACTGTGAAAGCAGATCCCTAATGTAGCATGAACTGAAGCAAGTGCACGTCCGCTGTAGCCTAAGCCACAGCATATCTGTCCCTTTATTGGTCACTGTAATGATTCTTAGGTCTCCATATTGGCACTGAACTGTTTCCTTCTCTTGCACAACACAGTCCTTGCTCTGTGCAGAAATGCCTTCCAAAGTTCAGCCAAATCTAATGTGAGCCTTTAGATTCAGCCAAACCAAGAGGGTATTTTCCAAAGTTACAGTCTTTTCTCTTTGATATTCCTGGGATTGTGTTTTATTACCAAGGGAGACTCCCTGGAAGTCTCGTATAGGCTCTGTTGCTGGACGGAGCATACTACACATTGTCATTTTATTACTCGTGTTTTAAACCCAATGATTAGGGATGCCATGTAGCTTAAAATAAACTCAAGGACTTTTTGCAGCTGCTGTATATCCAGCCATCTGCATATGACATAATACTTTGAAATATTTTTGAGCTGGTTTATGGTCCAAATGTCTACATGCTGTAGGATGTTCAGGTGCCCATTACAAAGCACTCACCGGGGCTGTTTGTGCTGTCTGAGCTACTTGTGAGGACCATCGGGGCCGTAAAGAGACGAGGGTGCTCACAGCTGTTTGCTGACCACTCTAGGACAAAGACCATAAAGTGTGTGACTGAACTGGAGAAGTTAAGTGCAGCATGAGTCATTAAACCTGGCCGGACTGGTAGTGAAGCTTTACCAGCATGTCCGTCTGACTGGATCCATTGAGGGAAGTCATCACGTCTTACTTGCACAGTCAAATTAGATGTGTGAAGAATTTATTGTTGTTAACTTATTTACCCTTGACTGAAAGCATTTTATAATGTGGTGTGGTATGTATGGCATCCTTGTGTCGATTATATCACAGCAGATGAAAACATTGAACATTTACACTATCATGACATGTTCCTGTGCAAAGTAGTTTTGTTTCCCGATGCTAGCGGAGCATCCAGGTTGACTTCATCTCTAAAAATGCATCCCCTAATCGAAAGTGGGAGACAAGAATGTAGATACAATCCAGATGAGCTGCTGAATATGTACCAGAGTTCCTCAAGGTATTTGACTTTTTAAGCGTTTGTACTTTAAATGGCATCTTTCTTCCCAGATTCTTTAATATGTATTTATTTTAATCAAATATCTTTTAATAGTCCAAATAAACGTACATTTACTGGAATTTTTTCATCTTAAAGTGAAGCAGAAAAGTTGTGCTTACATGTTGTCGCTGCACGCTAAAGAGTAAAACACCACATGCGACTCACTCAGTATTAAGCCAAATGTTTTGTACCCTCTGTGTTTATTGTCTGCTCAGTACTCATTCTGGTTCCTCCTGGTTCTCGCTTTGCCTCCCAGACGGACCTGATGTTCAACATATTAAACTCAGCTGAATAGTAAAGCAGCCGCGGCTCTTTGTGGCTTTTATTTTCAAGTTAAATGAAAGCCAGAGATTGAAGACAGGTTCTACAGGCATTCGCTGATTCACCCTCTCTCTCTCTCTCTAGTCTGGCAGGAAACACAGCCCTCACACACTATCCTAATCCTCGCATGCATAGACACAGACAAACACACACACACACACATGCACACAGACAGAGGAGAAACAGTCCTAACCAGCATGCTTAGGAGCGTAATTAGAGATCATTTACAAGGATCAGGTTGAACATAATCTGGACAGGAGGTAACTAAAGCCCGGCCATCTTCGCTCTCTTTCGTTGTGTGTGTTTGTGTGTGTTGAGAAGGAGAGGGGTGCAGGTTGTGTGTGTGTGTGTGTGTGTGTGTGCGTGTGCCTGTCTGTGTGTCTTGGTGAGTGTGTATACAAGAGCCAGTTCACCCAGGAAACGGCCACAGTGCGCCCCAAACATGAAGTTGGAAGGTGGGAAGGAGGGGCTGGGCAAACACGAGATGGAGCAATCTCTCTCTGTGATGTTTGGGTTTCACTGCAAACGGAAACACAGTTTCTCTGTATTACCTCTCCTTCTGTGTGTGTGTGTGTGTGTGTGTGTTTGTCTGTGTGCACAGGTTGCATGTGCGCTCAGTCTGCCTGCACATATCTAGCTGCGATAGGTGGTGTGAGGACCATTAAGATATTAGCTCGGGTAGTGTTATCTCTGGGGACTGATAAACCTAATGCATTTTGTGTGAAACATGCACACACTATAGATTTACATACATCACCTACTGTGATAAGGAAGGATTTATCATAGATTAGTCAAAGGGCAAAAGAAAATAGCCAGTTACCCATTAATATCATGGTATGTAATATAATATCACCCTTTGTGCATTGTGTATGGTAACTTGAAAGCAGCATGCTGCTTATCGAAAAGCCAAGGCTGTTGGTTTATGTGTGCGTGTGCGTGTGTGTGTGTGTGTGTGTGTGTTGTTTTCACCCACCAGATTCTTTCTCCTTTCTGATCTGTAATTGTTAAAAAGTGGGTCAGACTGAGGAGTGCAAGCATTTGGACGGACACACACACACACACACACACACACACACACACACACGCACACATAGTGAATCAGTTCCAATCTTGTCTGAGGAAAATAAAGTTTCATGCCACTTCAGTTTTTGGACGCTCCAATTCCTTCCTGCTTTTCTTGGCACACCAGCAGAAAAAAATTAAAAGTAGCAAAAAGCTGTGATTCAGAGCGTCAGAGCATTGTTGTTCAGGGGTGGATTTCAAAACACTTGAGATTCCATCTGAGGAACAGTTTAACCGGGAATTTATTTCATTTTCATATTCCTCTGAAACACATTCGTAATGGTTCAGTGATGAGAGTCAGACTTGAGTGCTTGTATATATCAAAGTGTTGTATGTGATTTTTGGACTTAAAGCTGCATTAATCAGTAGTTTTTATATTAACAGTGGATCAAATGACTGCTTGTAATGTTAAAGGTGTCACACGTAGTGACAAATACAATGAGGAGCTTAACAAACCAAAGCTCTTTTTAGCCTCGCTCTCTCATTAACGCTTCTTTCCAGATGCAACAGGCAGATGTCTTCAAATAAAAAGCACTGACAAACTGAGGTAATGTATCTGCTGTTTGGGCAGACAGACAAAGTTAGCGACCAGCTAGCTAAGGAAGTGGAGCATTTACCAGCCTAAGAGATATTCCCCTTGCTAGTTGATGGAGACCCCATGTCCTGGCCCTGTTGCCAGTCTTTATGCTAAGCTAATTAGCTCCAAACTTGACAACTAAACATGGGATTGGTGTCTATCTTCTCATTGAAGTGTTGGTAAATAAGAGAATGAGCATATTTCCCAAAATGAAACACCTATTTCTTTAAAATTCATCAAGTGGTTTGAATCACAACTCTAATGTTGCTGGATGTTGCTAATGTTGCTTTTTCAGCCCCCAGTAATCTGAACTTATTATAAATACACGCTCACAAAAGGCACATATAGGTTCAGCTTGGTGTGAAGTAGCTGTTGTCACCATCAAACCTGTGATCTTCTCATCACAGACCAGTCTTAACAAGCACGCCTGCTGCTAAAGTGCCCTCAAAAAAGGTGTCGCAATAGCAGAAAAGACCTCCAAGGTACCTATTTGAAAGGTGAGAGAGCGGGTATGTACCAGGATTCTTTGAGCTTGTTCTCAGTTTCACGTTTCATGTTTTTGAACGTGAGCCTGTGATCTCTGGTGCTTTGAAGCGAGACGGGTTTAGGGTGAGCCAGTGCTGCTGGCAGCGAGAGAGCGACACTGTCCTATAGGGCACTGGGGCTCAGTGTTGCCACAACACTAGAGCTGCCGGGTCACTGGTATAGAGAGCTTTGATTATAAAGAGCTGGAATGAGGCTCTCTCATCTTGTCCTTCCCTTGCCTGTTGGCTGTGTTTATTTGCTCCCTGTTCTTCCCGTCAAAGCTGGCCTTTGTATGAAGCGAGACCTTGGCAAACGGGAGGGAAACTTGGAAAGCTTCTGTCTGATATGCTGCATGTGTGGTTTCACTTCAGCTGGCCTGACTGTGGGGCCTTGGGAGCCGGTAATCATATCTTAACGGATCTCTCCACAGACACAAGGTTGTGAGCCAGTTTGGCACCGGCTTGACGCCAAATAGACTCCTGTAGTTATACACACACACACACACACACACACACACACACACACACACATACACACACACACACACACACACACACACACACACTCACACACACACACACACAAACACAAACACACAAACTTGTGTGTCTCCCATGGAAATAGGGCTTTCATTCATTGCCTCATAGTGGAGTGTTCTCAGTATTACACTGTATTTCTTGTCATTAAGCTCAAACTCTGTCTCTGCTTTGCTGGAAAAATTATTAACCATTCACACATAAATTAGAAGTTTCTGTTTCTTGTATTTGTGTGTGTGTGTGTGTGTGTGTGTGTGTATATGTATGTGTTCTCTCACACAGCGTGGTGGTTATTGCCGACTCCGTGTATATGAAGCGTTTGGGTGGAACTGAGGACAAATATGTCAGAGCCAGTGGTCCTCATATGGCGGGTGGTCAGTCAGACTGTGGTCGGCAGGAATGTCAGGAATTGCGTTGCTGAACAGATGGACTGTAAGAATATGAAAGTGGTATTGTAAGTGTTAGAAGTTACATACAGTGACTCTTTTTAATGCTTAGTTTGAAAAAGGGGAAATACAGTCAGTGCCTGTTGAAATGTGTGAATTTAATTAGAATTTTAACGGCTCTGTGTGCGACTTTCTAGCCTCGATAAATCATTTCAACATTGTTAGAGCAAAATTATTACTGTGAACCAATTAGATTTGACACTTGACACACATATGTACTTAATTTTGTATCTTGTATACTGATAGTTGTTATGGCACCTGTTGCTTATCTGTCCATCCTAGAAGAGGGATCCCTCCTTTGTTGGTCTGTCTGTGGTTTCGCCCGTTTGATTTCCAGTTAAAGCTTTTGTTTTACTGATCTGAATAATTTAAGGACAGAGGACGTCACCTGTTGTGAGGATTGTTCTCAGAGACGGAGCTTGATATTTTGGGCTGTATTAATAAAACTGAACTGTTTTGACTTGTCTTGTTCATACAGATTGCATTATGCTGCGAAGGCAGATAGAAGTAGGAGAGTGAATGGGGAAGTGGAAGCCATTCTTGATCGTTTCTTGCAACGGTTGATGAAAAGATGAGAGGCCCAAATTATGTAGCAACATAATTGTTACAAACAGCAACAGAATGTATTATATACTTAGCTTTTAATATAGAAACACTAGGACAACAATGCCAATAGTCTAGACTGTGGTCTTATTTGTTTGCAGTAATTATACCAAGGCATCATGATTAATATGACAACGATATATAGACAGAGACATTGTTTAGGCTGCCTTGTTTAGACCAGCAATAGTAGTTTGGCTTAACAACACATTGGTGTGGCAGTTTATACCCATGTGCATCTGGATAGTACATCTGTATGTTTTCAAGGTAAAAATATAAATTTGCAACAAGTTACTAGCTAGAGGACGCTCTTAGTTTGCATCTGTTTGATTGGCCAATATGGTGCCCTGTTCCTTTTTTGCTGGACTTTGTATTGTTGTCAGTCTGAAACAGCCATAGAAATCCAACAGGAACTAGAACTTCAAACTGAAGGAAACAGAAATCGAAATCAAACATTACCGATATATTCGGACCAAGTCTGGTTAACAACAATCTCTGTCTTTCTCTCGTTTTCTCTCCAGACGATTATAACTACCTGCCTGATGCATTGCCTCCTCTTCCTGAAGTCCCGGACTCCGGCTCTGTCCTGAGCTCCGTTGACATCCCGGCCCGCTGCCTCCGCAACCCTGCCTTCCGCCACGCCTCCTCGCGCTACTGCTCCGCCCTCAGCATGGACTCCTCTCCAGACAGCACCGAAAGGCCGATCAGCTACAGCTCCACCTCGTCGTCCGCCTCCTCCCGGGACAGTCACTGCTCACTGGGCAGCCGCTCCACCCTCGTCCCTGCCCCTCACTGTAACCCGGTGACCTCAGACCGGGACTCTGGGGCAATTCGGTTGGAGCTGGTCCCGGCCCGGCAGCTGGGATGTGGGGAGGAAGAGGACAGAAATGATAGAGGGATGGACACAGGGAGGGGGCAAGGGAGACAGGGCAGTGAACAGACTCCAACAGAACATTCAGAGCCTGAGCTGAGTCCAGAGGGAAGTGAGCGGACGGGTCAGGGACCCAGGACATATGTTGACCGAGTGGTGCAGGAGATACTGGACACAGAGAGAACATACGTCCAAGACCTGCGAAGCATTGTAGAGGTAAGGGACAAAAAACCCATAATGGTGATTGAACACAGCCTGCAGAAGAAATTAGAAGCAGAAGGATCCTACATGTGAGAGGGACATTAAAGGTATATTAGCACATCTGGCAGAACATCAAATTTTCAGGAAGGTCTTGAAGAAATTTGTGGTTGTGCAGGTTATATCAGCTCCAAATGTGACTTCTCAGCTTTCACGCAAGACTGTTAATCAGTGGTTCCCGAACTTTTTGGCTCCTTACAACAAAGCAACCTCTCTTCACTGGTTGCATAGATCCAAACAAAAGGTTTTTTCCTTTTGTTTTTCTCATTTTATCTGAATGATTTTCAGAGACCTGAGACAAAATCAAAAAATGGAGTTGAAAAGTCTGAAATATGTTTTTCTTTTGCTCTAAACCCCTAAGACTTCTTGTAACCCCCAGGTTGGGAACCACTGTTTGAAATTTCTAAACATCAATCAAACCATTCGGGGGTCCCATCTTTCTCAGGCAAAAAAGTGACGGAAGTTTCCCAGCTTGACCCAGTTCAGCTCCGAGCAGCGGTGGGACGTCATAAATGTGTTTCAGTCCAGCGGCCTCATGACCTTCGTCTTTTCAGGAGGAGCATGGGGCTTTAATTCACAAGATAACACACACCCTTTTGGCCTTTATGGTTCTGCTCACACACGTGACGCACCCAGCTCATTGCCTGCAAGGTACCTTCAATATAGTAAGGTCACCTGCGTTTGCAGGCGGGGTTTGGCCGAGTTACACGATACCGGTGCCTTTTGTGCTGCAGGCACAGGCGCACATTCAAAACTTTTTAAAGCACACACACATACTGTATGCACACACACTCAGACAAATACACTCTTTTTGTGAGGTTGGCTTTGAACTGCGAGGATACACATTGCCTCCAGTCAGTGCTTTAGTGGCTTTGTTAAAGATTGGGCGTAGTGGTTTGAATCAAAGGTTGCTCTCCTTTCTCTCTTCCTCTTCTTTGTTGCTCCGTCAGCTCTTTTTGGTTCTCTGTCAAACTTAACATTTATATAGTCTGTGCTAGAATGTGCAACACACATGCGATGTGTGTTTCGGATTTGAGTCCTGCAGCTGAATTTGAAATTTTTGTGTGGAAATTGTTGTGGTTTTTGCATGTGTGCATGAACATGTTTGCATGTGTTGGAGCTCTGCCCACAATTTCCCATATCTCCCTCCTTAAACAGTGTTTCCTTCCCTACTCTAGGCTATTGGCTCATGAGCCACCGTGTTTGTGTGTGTGTGTGTGTGTGTGTTGGTATGTGTACGTGTCTATTATTTAGGGTTAAAAAGGTTCATAAGTGGAATGGCTGTTGTCAAAAAGAAAAAGCAGGAAACTCATATTCTCAAGAGACAGGATAAGTAGAGGGAGTGAGGTTTAGGTTTTGTGGTTTTGGCCTGTCACCCCTGATCGATGTCCCTCCCTCTCCTGCTCCTCCTTCCTTTCCTCCCTCCTTCAGGAGGTGAGGAAAAGGGGGAGAGAGAGAGAGAGAGAGAGGAAGGTAGGAAGAGGGATTTAGCTCTGAGATAACAGTGTCCAAAGTAGGTTAGGAAAACACTGAACAGAGCTTAGGAGCTGTACTTAATAACCCTCTCCTCTGCAGATCACCATCCTGCCATTAGTGAATCAGACCACCCAGCCCTGGGCGACCTCAATTAGACGACAGGACAGCTAATTCTTCACCAGCACTTTGGAGAAGGCGCATGCATTTAGCCTTTCTTCACCCATTTTAATGACAGTTCCAGTGGGTGCACGGAGGATGGATTGCACTGATCCTATCTGTATGAATAGAGCTTTTAACATGACAGTTCACCTACAGAGAATAGAAAAGTACTGGACAGCACAAGCGCAGCGTCAACATCTATTACCAGCACTGTCCTATGCGAGCCGGTCCTGCAGCCCTGGTTTCACTAATCCCTTTTGCCCGTGCTGCTTCCTGCAGTGGAAGTGGGGTGTGGCAGCCTTAACACAAATATTTACCCAGACTCTCCTGGGCTCACCTGTGTTTCATCTGTCAGCAGCGGCGTTGTGGTCTGCATACGCTCATACCCTGTCAGCTCGTGTGTGAACTGTACGTGTTGAGAGTATTGAACAGCTCATTTGGTCCAATTAAGGAATGCAGTTCTTCAGTGGCCCTGAAAGCTCTGCAACCTGAGAAAACAAAAGACGAGCAAATAAAGAAATCATCTTCACCCATTTGACAACACGTGCACATTTAGAGAAAAAAAAAACAGGTGAAGTGCTGCAAACACAGAAAAGAAATGCGACAAGTCTCACAGAAATCAATAAAAAAAACGAATGACAAAGTTCCCAGGAGACAGGAACGCTGCGTTCTGCACAGTTTTCTCATTGTGTTTCTTTCTAAACGCGCATGTGTTGTCAAATAGGTGAAGATGTTTTCCTCGTTTGTGTGTGTCGGATTTCTGTGCGTGAACATTTTTTGTTAGTTCTGCGTGATCGCTCCTCCCTGGCTCGATCGGTGCGTGTAATGAGGCTGATTCGCCATCCACGAACAGCCTCAGAGGCCAAAGCTCTGATCTTTTTTTTCTCTCTCTCTCTCCCTCCTCTTCCTCTCCTCTGCCCCCTTTTTTCCCTCCCCCCACTCTGAGACATGGAACGCTCTGCCAGGCCATTTGAAGTTGACCAGGAATTTGGAAGTAAACTGGGAACATCATTTGGCCTGCAGAAAAGTTCAAAGTAATGAGATCTGAACGTTTGCACTCGGCATTGTCTTGAGGAGTCACTTCCTACTGCGAGTGAGGGATGTGTTTGGTGTGTAGGAAAGGAGTGTGTACTTGAGGAGGTTAATAGTTAACACGAGAAAGTATCAAGTTTGTACATGTTATGTCTGATACTTAGCAGGGAGTGTACCTTAAGCTGTGTGTGTGCGTGCGTGTGTGTGTGTGTGTGTGTGTGTGTGTTTGTGTGCGTCCGTGTGTGTGTGTGGATCTGAGCGCTGCCCATTGTTGAGATCAGTCAGGCTTTGGCTGAGTGACTGGGTCAGGCCAGGTCAGATCTGTGACCCGTGGCTAATAAAGCATCACCTTACACATTACCTACGATAGTCAACAAAATCTAAACATGACCTCCTGACGTGACCCCTGACATAACCACCAACATGCCCGTGAGCGAGTCTTATTCACGTTTTCTGTTACTTAAATCCTCAAAACCAAAATCTTGGCCTAAAGCTCTTCACACCCTAAACACCCAGGATGGCTGATGTTTGAATCAACCCTCCACTCCTTGTTTCAGCTGAGATCATTTTTACCTCTCTCCCTTTTTTTTAATATCCCTCCCTTTGCCTAACCAAACACAGTTTAATGGGCTCCTGCTCAGCCTCAGCTAGTATAATGATAATGATAATAATAGCTAAATACATAAAACATTAACACAGAAGAGAAAACCGCAGCAGCAGACTGGAAATTAGGCAAACAAACTAAACGGGATGAGCAGGGAAGTGTTGAGTGTGCTGAAATGATCACAGGGTGTGTGTTTGTGCATGTTGAGGGCAGCCTGGTACTTTTCTCAGAGGTGTAAGTGCCTGCCCTGCCCAGTTACAGACTGTGGTCTGCTTTTGAAAACTGTTACTGTGCTCCCACCAGGATACTTCCACCAATCCCATACCTCTCTCCGGGTTGAAGTTTTACATACAGCTGCATTAACGGTTGAGATCGTTTGCGTGTGTTTGCGCATTAGTGTTTCAAGTGTTCTTCATGCGTAATCGTGTTTTGGTTTGGCAACTTTTTAGGTGCCTACGGGAACAGATACTATCAGTGCCTTACCCGTCTGTAAGTGAGACGGAGGAGCAGGAGATGCTCCTTGGGAAGGGGCAGACAGACAGACACAGACACTCTACTGATTCATGTATGTTTTCTGATTCAGGTTCAGATTTTTATTGACTCAAAGCTGTGATTATAAGATATGGAGTGCTAACAAACTAAAAAGAAAGCAACAAAAAGTACTCCCAGCATGCAGCAGTAGATGTAAAAGCAGCGTAGTTTAACTGCTTTACAGTCCGTAGCGCTACACAATATTGAACATAATCAGTATGCTGTCTGCACAGAGAGAAGTAAGGCCCTGTTCGGATCTGTTACTCACATCTGTCTCAGGTGATCCGACACCTCCGAGTACAGGTGTGAAAGCACCCAAGACGCACTGAGATCCGATCACTCGGACCACATTCGGAGGTGGTCTGGGCCACATGTGGCCACATTCTTTTAGCAGTGTGAACACAAATGGGCCACATTGCAGGACCACCTACTCTGCCACAGTCTAATTAGTCCCAAGACAATTTGGTAATGAATGAAATATATTTAACTTTTTCAAATGGCTGAAACCTTTTTTCATTGTAGAGTGTAATGAGATGCATATTGTGTGGTCTGATCATAAGCGGTCACTGGAGACGCATGTGGATGATCATCTGAGACGTATGTTAATGCCAGGTCTGAACAGGACCTAAGAAACATAAAGTTAGAACACTTAATGCCTCTGCCGCTCACTTCTGGCCTGTCTCTCTCTCTCTCCACCTCTCACTTTCTATCTGCAGGGAAAGAGTGAGAGCTGAGGCTGGTGTTTAATCTAACTGAGTCGTAACAGCACTCCTCGCTAATGGCAGCGATGGAGGCAGTGATAAGAGGCTTGGAGTTAAATCTGCCTGACTAGACTTAAACCTGTTTTTCAGCAAGGACCCATGTCAAACCTGGGTTTCCCAGCATCAGTCTGGCTGTGGTGGGACGTTATCCTCTAATCAGGATGTTTACACAAAACAATGAAACAAAGTGCATTAACACACTGTAAATGGGCGGTGTTCATCTATGTTGTGGCAGGCTGAGGCATTTAGTTTCTTTTGCAGTTTCACTATACAACTTAAAATTAAGAACTAGAATCATATGCACTGAGAGTGTTTTAATTTGTGTTCATATTCCTTTTGAAAAGCTTACTTCTGTACGTAGCTGGCTAATGAGACCCAAACAACAGAGAGCTGGCGTGGGGGCCTTGGCGAATAATGAGTCAAATAACATTTTTCATGCACACCCTCCCCTTTATATAATCAATATTTTGTGCACAGGAAAAAACAAAAATGTTAAATAAAAATGAGGATAACAAAGTTGATATTTCCCCCCTTCAAGAGGGCTGAAGTGAGTGAAATGAAGTCCTGGTGCATTATTAAGCTTCATGACTCTAGCTTATACTGTCTGTTTGTTGATGAGGAATCTCCAATAGTAACATAATAAGTTAGTTGAGGTAGTTGAGAATGGGAAGTCAGTTGGTTTCCAGGTCTAGTTATTGGTGGAGATTGTGGATTGAACAGTAGAGTGTACATCCACATGCTGTCGGTGTCAGCCTGTTAATAGCTTCTCCTGCGTCGACCCTTTTTCTCAGAGCCTGACCTAATGTTGATCATCATAGAGATGCTGGACAGACATTAAAAAACACAGCTTCCTGAAAGCCCTAAATCATCCGTCTAATACTCTATTGCTGTTTGAAGCTTAGCTATGTGTGGGCACTTGCATAGTGAGTCTTTCTCACAAAGCTATCTGGTCAAAGTGGTGCAAAGTGGAGTCGAGTGCCCAAGGGAGTTGGGAGCTTTAAAAGTGACCGAGGTGAAGGCTGTGGGAGTCACAGTGTGAGTAGGCTGTAAAAAAAATGAAGTGTGTGTTTGTGTGTGTGTGCTTGCCAAGGCTGGTGCCAATCAAAATGCCAAGTATATGTACTGTAGCGCTAACATGACTACTTTCTTTCTTCTTTTCTTTCTTTCTCTCTCGCTCTCTCTCTCTCTCTCTCTTCTCTTTCTCTCTCTCTCTCTCTCTCTCTCTCTCTGCACAGGACTACTTGGAGTGTATCAGTAACCAGTCTCGACTGTCTCTGAGCCACGAAGATAAAGGTTCTCTCTTCGGCAACATCCAGGACATCTACCACTTCAACAGGTGCAACATAGACACAGAACAGTACACTTGTGACTACAGACTCAGGCTGGAGTCGGACCTCAGACTTGACTTGGACTGCTGTGAGACCTGATGTACTTGAGACCTAAGCTAAAAAGCTGAAGACATTGTTTTGACCTAGTAAAATCCTGGAACAACAGAAAATGAATAAGACAGAGACGAGCAGGTGTTACATAGTTTCCAATCTTGAATACACACCCAGCCAGACTGTTGTCTGCTGTCATACCAGTGGCGGCTTTACACTACTGAATATGACATATTTGCCAAATATTGCGTCAATCCTATATTTCTTCAAAAAGATGGATTTCTTTTCAAAAATAAATGTCAGGCTCTTTCTTTCAACCACTTGGTTCTTCCATGTCATGTCGACACATTTATTGTAGCAGTTAAGAATATTTGAATAAATAAATTGCTCATAGTTTATAGCCTGAGACATACTGCTTTGTCCCCTAGTAGAATAAGTTTAGGTGAGCAAGGAAAATCAATCCCTATGATATTCTTGATTTAATAAATCCCCAGTAAAGGGTCTAGTTTTATTCTATTCCAAAATATATGTATGATTCCTCAGTTTTACACCTGTATACTGTGTCTTTACATCCTGTGTGGTCTTTCTGGTGTAAAGTGGGTTATATGAATTACACTGAGCTGTTACAGCTTGTTATGTCTATTGTAAGTCTTTAAACAGTGAGTCCCATGCACAGTCATTAAAAGTGGTAACCAGATCCTTTTCCCACTTTTCCCAATTTAAATCCAGTATTCTGTTGTAAATTAAAGGTGAACCTGTGAGGTTTCTGTTGTAGGATATGTTCCATTAAGGAGGAGAGGAACTTTAAACTTGACTTAGACTTAGGCAACTGACCTGAGACACAACTTGGACTTGTCCCAGAAGGTCTAAAAACAGCTCTGACGAATACAGCGACAGACTCTCGTCTCTGTCAGGCTCAACAAACAATGTCCAGCTGATAGTGAAACTGGACTGAGGCACCTGTTGATTTTTGGGAAGAGCGTTGTTGTGGGAGTCAGGTGTGTGTGTGTCTTTGTGAGTGTGTAGATTCAATCACCGTCTGCATATTTGTCCCCTCCGGCACCGCTCTAAAATCTGTGTGTATGTGCGTGTGCGCTGTATCCAGACGAGATGGCTAGTTGAGAATCAGCCATGGTGGTCTGGACACACAAACATGCACACTCTTTCTCCCACCCATTCATTTCTCAGCTGCTACACACACACACACACACACACACACACACACACACACACACACACACACACACACAAACCCGCCAGTAAAAGGAAGCATAAAAGCAGTTTAAAGTGGTCACAATGACCTCATGCTTCAACCATGAAACAATAACTTCAACAGTGGCCTTTTTTTTTCCACAGTGTGTACTTACACATACATACACACCTACAAACAGGAGCACCCTGTTTGAATTCATGGAAGTTTCTCATTTGTTCAGAGCCGAGTGCCCCAAGACCTAATTTCTGTACCCAGGGTGACTCTTACTCCTGAAATTCTCTGCAATTGTTGTGAGCAATGAATGGTGGGAGAGCAGTTTATGTTCCTGTGTCAAGGGAGGAAGAGAAAACAGAACACATTTAAAGTCGTAGAGTGCATGTTTTGACATCAAATGTTTTGACATCAAATTCTGATTTCTCTGACATGATGTGTTCAATTCAGGGACCTTCTTCATGATCTTGAGAAGTGTAACGCAGACCCCGTGGCCATCGCAGAGTGCTTCGTATCCAAGGTAAAAATGTCCGCCTCCTCCACCCCTCCATCCCTCTGTCTCTAGAGACACAAAGTACATTTGCTCCAGTAGACTTTTAAGTAGTAGTAGCAGTAGTTGAGTATTTACCTTTATCTATTTTACCTTTATATTCCCACTTCACTACTTTCAGAGGGAAATATTGTACTTTTTTACTAGAATACATAGAATACAAAGCACTGTTAAAGGTCCCCTTACAAAAGAAGCAGTGTCTGGTTGTGGCTCCTTGTCGTGACTCATTTTTCTGAGTTGTTTGCAGTTCCACCTAAAGGACATTTCCCCTCTAAACTTCTCACATGGTTTCACTTTTTTAAGCCCAACAGGAAAATAATTCAACATTTCACAAAATGTGCCATTACCATTAGAAATATAATAATATGCATTGTAATAATATGTCCTCTACCACTGTCTGTCTCTCTGTCTACATGCAAACTCCTTCTCTTGCTTGTTGAAACCTGTCCAAACAGCTGGTTCAGACACACACACATGCACACACACACGCACGCGCGCACACACACACACACACACACACACACACACACACACACACACACACGTGCATACATACGTACGTACATACTCACAGATGCACAGGGGACAGTAAATGAGAAACAGGCAATTTGTGATGATAAGAGATAAGTTCCCCAAATTCAAATGCAGACTCTGCATAAAGTCAATGAGGTTTATTGAGGTTAGCAGCATTATTTTGGTGGTTGGAATGTCAGCGTTAAGTGCAAGAGGAGGGCAGAGAGGAAGGACAACTCCAGAGGAATTTTAAGGACCGTCCAAATATGTAATCACCTTTTTTTACTGCAGGGGGGATAATAGCAGTACTTCATCAGGAAAAAGTGGACTCAGCAACTCTGCTCAAAGTATCACTGGTCCCTGTGTCTGAGTGTTTTAGCTTTTCCCTTATCCTCACCCGCCCACCCGTGCCCCATAAAATCATTGCATGATTATGTCCCATGATAATGCACTGCATTCCAGCACTTCCTCTAAAACACTTTACATTCCCTCCCTACCCGACTGCAATTACACCCAATACCACAGAGCAACTGTCTGACCGTGTATTAAAAAAAAAAAAAACAAGTCGCCTTCAGCGTCAGAGACTCACTAAATACAGCAGCTGTTGTTGTGACAGACAAGTTTTATGGCAGCCCACAGCACCACTCCGCATAATTAACTGAGATCCATAAACAAGCCAGGGTGCTGACTGATTACTGTTACAGTTAGCAAAAAAAAAAAAAAAATCTCAAGAGGAAATGCCAGTCACATGTCACGTGAAAAAGAAGCTGTTTGGTGTTGTTGTGATCGCAGACAATGTCATAGACTCGTTACTTGACCTTGATATATATAGTCGTGTGCTAGGTCTGCAGACAGACCACTGTCACCACTGTCCTTCATGTCCCCATTACAATTTAGACATCGCAATGAGAGCTGTGTGTATGTGTGTGCGTGTGTGTGTGTGTGTGTGTGTGTGTGTGTGTGTGTGTGTGTGTGTGTGTGTGTGTGTGTGTGTTTCTGTGGCCTCATGATTTCACATGAAGACCTCTGGTGAAAGGGTTGTAACCAGAATAGTAATCAGACTTCTTTGTACTGCTGGAGGTTGGTCACTGTTGCTAAGACGCAAAAAACCACAAAACCTCTCTTTCTCTACCTACACACACACACACACACACACAAACACACCGCTCATAGCTAACACTTTTCTAGTCGGAGCAGTCAAGAATCACCACCCAGCACAGTGTTTGAGGAAGAGACGTGTCTTGTTGTAAATCTCTGGCTCTCTCTCAGATAATTGGCTATCTATCCTCATGTTCCTCTCTGTTCGACTAAATCCTCACTGTGCTATGTGTTGAGTAAGCTTTTACAAGGTTTTATGGGTTGCTACATGCTGACTGAGAGAGTACAAATGCTCCCAGTGATTTATCAGGTTCAGTGCTTACCTGATGACTCACTGTGACCAGTCCGGTCTCGATAAATCTGTACAACAACAAAACCTGCTGCCTCATTACTTTGTCATTCAAACGATATGATTGGACGCCAATGCAATTTGACCTCTTATGTAGTGATTAGTGGCCACAGCTCAAAAAAAAAGTAGAGCTCTTTCCTTATAATTTGTATCTCGATACTCTAGAGAAGGATATTTTTCATTTTCGTCATGTATAGGAGCCAGAGCGCAGTTCAAAACTCTCACATGCAGCATTTATTATATGATGATTATATGATTTAACGTAGCTTGTATATATTTCTAAAAGGGAGGTATATTATAGATGTGAGTTATTTCAGGGTCTACTGGTTTCACTGGTTAGGTTCAAAGAGTGCGTGCATGTCGGTGTGTGCACTCGTCCATGCGCTGCACAAATTTGTGTTCCATAGAGGCATCTGTGTATTTTGCGGTCTTGTGTTCGTAGTGCAGAGGGATATTAGAGAGTGTGTATTAGGAGTGTGTGTCGGTGTGTGTCATCAGAAATCGATGGTGGCACATCTGGTTGCGTTTAGGCCTGGTCTGCGGCGGCAGACTGCTGGAGACGAGAAGGAGAGCTCTGCTCTTCAATTTAGGACAGTTCCCACGGAGCAGCACCTCAGGCAAACAGATCAGGAGAGCTTGTCTGTGTGTGTGTGTGTGTATGTGTGTGTGTGTGTACAGTATATTTTGGTGGGATACATTGTGTTCGTGTAGGTAGGTTGAATTGTTTACAGCTTGAATAGGAATCTATATTTACCTACAGCAAGAAACATAACACACACAGACACACACATCCAGTCTATGCATACTGTAAATCTACTTTTAATCACATGTTGGGAAACGTGTGTGAATGTCCACATTGCTCTGTACATATGTGTGTGTGTGTGTGAGTGTGTGTGTGTGTGTGTGTGTGTGTGTGTGTGTGTGTGTGTGTGTGTGTGTGTGTGTGTGTGTGTGTGTGTGTGTGTGTGTGTGTGTGTGTGTGTGTGTGTGTGTGTGTGTGTGTGTGTGTGTGTGTGTGTGTACATTATGAACCAGGACAGACCTCTGTCATCTGCCCTGTGTGTTTATGATGTCGCTTCCTGATAGCTGTCCGCATCCTGTGACCCCCAAGTGTTTATGGACACAAATAGAGTTCAATTAGACTTTCACGTTATGCAACAGCAAGGGGTTCATCTTGAGGCCTCCAAGAGAGCGAGATGTGAGGGAGAGATGAAGAGGAAAGCTTTCAAGACAGAGGAGAGATGAAAGGTTATGAAAGAGAAGAGAATCAAGAATTTCCATGAAAGATCGATGAAGCGAAGACGTGCAAAATGTGTTACACAAACAGAAATCGGGAGAAAGGGTGGATGATATAGGGATGGAGAGAGAGAGAGAGAGAGAGAGCTTCATTCCAGCTTTGATAAGTCATGCTGTGTCTGATGTCTTTGATGTTCAGAAAGGCATGCAAGGTGGGAAAAGTCTCAATTAAAGGGGCGGCAATGAAGAATGAGGGGATATTTAATCCAAGCGCTCAGGGCTGTTGGGATCAACGGGGACTTAAAGGCCAGGATGGCAGACTAATCATAAGCTACAATGTTGACTCTCAATTAGTAGCAGTGCACGGAGGAGAGAGGATGCCTTGTCTGTGGGCTCACAGCGCGCAGAACAGTAAACATGAAATAACCGGCCAGCCATCAAAACTGCACCGAACCACCAGTGGTTTTGTATGCTTTAGCCCATTTACTACAAGACACATGTACTTAGTATTGCAACTAGTCATTTGAAAATATTTTCTCTTCCACTGGATTCAGATCAGTCATTTTCGTGTGATATAAAAATGTATTAGAAGACTCTTGAAGCTTGCTTTTGGTCGTGTAATCCATCTGTGACCATCAAGTTAAAATTTTGTCAAAGAGCCATTTTTCTTATGAGGAAATGGAGGAGACTTTGAAATCAATTTGCAAATAAGCCGCATTACAAGGAAACAGTAGTGTAACTGATGAAACCTCATGGTCACTGTGACTGTTGAGAGCCAGCTACATTTTTACACCATACTGACATGGATGGGAATCAATGGCTGGCTGAATTGGGAGGAAAGTACATCCCACTGTCTCTGTAGCTTTTTAGCATGAATTTGAAAAGTATCAGAAAGTAGGCCTACATGATTTGTAATTAAAGGGCTTAAACTTGTAAACACACTAGTATGGGCCTTTAATTAGTGTTAGTATAATTATGCAGAGCAAAACCCACCAAAAATCTAAGCAAAGTACTGTCAGAGATGCATCCTTATGTCTTTTCCCCAATTCAGTTCAATTCAGTTAGGTCACAAAAACTTTATGTATGTCAGCTCACAAAGGTGGTTTTTAGCAAAACGTTGGCGTGCTCACACGCTAAACTAAGATAGTGAACGCAGTGTTACTATTGAGCTCAAAGCACCTCTATGTCCAAACACAGCCTCACAGATCCACTAGCATGGCTGTTAACTACTTGTCTTGTAACAATAAAATATTAATGTTAGGGTTTCTCACTACACACCTACATGTACCCACTAACACACACAAACGTCAACAAACATTATGTGACATCTTGTATTTTTTTTCTTCTCTCATCTCTTCAGTTACTCCTGTTTCCTGCTACTTAAACACATGAACTAATGTGACCCCTGTGTTTTTACAGAGTGAAGAATTCCACATTTATACCCAGTACTGCACCAACTACCCACGGTAAGACAGCAGAGTGTGTGTGTTTATGCCTGAGACTGTGCTTATTCAGCGCAACCGTCTACTGTACAAAACCTGTCTTCTCGTTGTCATTGTTATCTCATCCTGATCTCACCTCTGCACGCCGTCTTCCCAGCGTCTCACATAGCTCCATTGTGCATGTCGATCAATGAATTACCCCCCCCCCCAACAGGCTGACACGCTCTATAGCAGTCACCTCAGCAGGAGTCAAAGTGTCTACTGGCTGTTGTGCCTCAGGGTCTCTCTACCTCCCTCCCTCTCGTCCTCTTTTTTTCGCAGCCTATTGACAGAGTTACAACTCGCACACTGACAGATGGGGTATTAGAGATGTCACCTTATCATACCTAACGCTGTTAATGTTTTATTCTGCTTTGTGCAAGTGTGGTCCTATGAGACACCTGTGTGGATAGCTTGGGAGGAATAATGTGGTGTTTTTTTTTTTTTTGTGTGTCAGTTTCTCCATTGTGTGTGTGTGATTAAATAGGCTGAAACGTGAGGCTATTCTTCATGCCAAGATATACTGCACCTACCAAACACACCTTCTCCTCTGGCTGCCATTTTTCTCCCACAGTGTATGATAAGAAAGGCACGTGGGGAAGAAACAATTTACAAGCAAATGATGACTAACTGAATGCTGATTGTGTGCACGCTTGGTGTGTGTGTGTGTGTGTGTGTGTGTGTGTGTGTGTGTGTGTGTGTGTGTGTATGCGCGCGTGTGTGAATGTGCGTGCGTGTGTGTGTGTGTAAAGGGGTTATTGTCAGCTGTTTGAGATAGACCTTCTCCCACATCCACACCACAGCTGGTGACCCCAACCAAGGTCACACACGACAGACATATACACACACAAGGGAGACACTTGCACACAAACACATACACACACACGCACACACACGCACATGCACACACGCACAGAGGCTGCAGATGTATCATGGTCATGCTGAGCTCTAAGGTCGGGTTTCCTCCGGAACAATGTGAGGCCTGTGTGGAGCTGCACTGGAATTTAGACATGCAGACATGCACATGCATGCGCGCACACAAAGACACAGAAGAAAGAGACAAGTTTTGGGCAACCCACAACTGTCTTTCTCTGTCTTTTTCCACTCTGCATGTGTACGCACACACTCACACACAGCCTCCGTTTGTCAGTGAAAAAGGCTCTTTCTTCCCCAGTAGGTCAAAACTAGCTCCACTGACTTGTAAATTTGGGTCTTACAAGGTTGTGAAGTGCATATGTACCAAATATTAATTGATGCTGCCTCAGAAAATGATGAAAGCATGAAGCATCTATCATGCAGTTAGATTGACATCTGAGGCTCAAACAGGGTTTGGTGATCAATAACTTTATATTATTATTTATCATATTGTAATGGTATGTCTTACAAAAATTATGTTGTCAAAATTAGTGATTCCAAGCAAACTGTGACTTCAAATTGTATGATTTTGTCTGATTTAATACACAACAGTGGAACGCAGGTCATTGCACTGAACAGTAATTAGCTGATGCATTTCAAAATGGACATGTGCACAGGAAAGTGCACAGGTGCTGGACCTTGAAGACTGATACATATATGCAACTGAAAAGTCTGCACACTGTGACTTAAAATATTATCTTATGCATTATTTGCATACATTTGCTGAATAGATAGAATACAAATATTAAAATGAACAATAATTGAATTGAATTAATTTTTTTGCCTGAGCTGAAAAATGGATGGATATCTTCAAAACCTTCACACACCATCTTTCTGTCCCTTTCAAATATTTCAGATGTAGGAACATTCACCCAGTTGCCAGTTTAATATTGCAGGACTGTTATATTAGTTTTAGCTCGGTGTTCCTAATATACTGGCAGCAGAGTGTGTTTGATATTCCCTTCTGTCCAACTCGGTTGTAAACGTCCTTTTTTTTTTCTTTTTTTTTTAGAATTGTCTGTCAGGACATACATCAAAAGTCTAATTTCTCATCGCTGTCAAATTGCGGTTTACTACACATCCCTGACGTCTTATTCACTGTGTTTTGTCTCCACAGGTCGGTGGCTGTGCTAACAGAGTGCATGAGGAACAAGGCGTTGGCCAAGTTTTTCCGCGAGCGCCAGGAATCTCTGAGACACTCCTTGCCCCTGGGCTCCTACCTGCTCAAGCCAGTGCAGAGGATCCTCAAGTACCACCTACTGCTGCATGTATGTCTGTCTGTCTCTTGTCTCTCTCTGTCTCACAAACACACACACACTTACTCTTTACCCGCAGAAATACAAGCGCAGGCACCCACTTGTCACAGTCAGCACACACTAATGTTTTTATCCATACCAATGCAAATGGATGTGTACAGTTCAATAAGAGCCTTTTGGACTCAGCTTCCAGCTCAGCTCCTTTGGAGAGGCCAAATGTTTAGACATATGGTGCTCAGTATGTATGTTCCTGTATAAGTGCTTGTATCAGGGTACATGCATGATGTACATAAAAACACACATGGGTGTATGAACAGTAAGTGGTCACCCATTTGCTGGTGTCTTCATTCTGCATATTCGCTATAATTTCATTGTTTTCTTTTTAACTGTCTGTTGTTTTTATTATTTTTATTGTGTTTTTATTCTTCTGTAAAGTGTCCTTGAGTGCTGTGAAAGGCGCTGCCAAATAAAATGTATTATTATTATTATTATTATTCATGAACATGACGTGTGAGCGTTTGTGCAAGTGCTAACTCCCAGCGGTGTATGTATGTGTGTGTGTGTATGTGTGTGTGCAGGAGATAGCCAACCACATGGAGAAGGACACAGAGACCTTCGAGGTTGTGCAGGAAGCCATAGACACCATGCAGAGAGTGGCCTGGCACATCAACGACATGAAGAGGAAACATGAGCACGCTGTTAGGTTGCAGGTACGACCAACACACACACACACACACACACACACACAAACACACACACATGCATGCACACAGAAAATAAAAATTCAAGTCCGTTTAGGACTGATAACAGTGTCCCGCTCGCACACTCGCCATGTCTCTCATTATTCCTATCACAAAAGCAGACACGGCAGTTTCGAGCCTCTCAAGGAGCCAATTCTTTTATTGTTGTGTGGAACAGTTATGCGAGCTCTAGGTTTGAATCAGCCAAGACTCTGATCCTCCCCTACGTCTTACGCAAGTCACTGCGTTTTCCACTGGGCTAATGATGGCCTTGCATAAGGAGGACACATAAAAGGGGAGCTTGTTTCTTTTATCAGCTGGGAGCCAGGATGGTCAGATGAATGCAGGAATGTGTGTGGAAGCGTTTACTCTCAGTGCCTGGACAGAGGATTGGCTCGATTATACATTTTCAGCTTTTATTGTTTTTTCCTCATCATAATAACTTTTTGTTTTTACTTTTCCTTAACCTTTCCATTTTTACTGTCTCAAGTCTGTTGCTCCCTTCATCCAGTAGCACAACACACGGCATCAAATCACTTAAGCTTCCTTTTTATGTGCTGTAGGTCAAATATTTATTTTTATGATGCAAAATGGTTTCAAAATCTCACATTTTTTATTGCTATTGTGAAATCCTTTTTCCTGTTCATGTTAAAATAAACACAATTATTTAACTCCCCTCCCTCTCCTATCTATTTTCTGTGCTGACTGCAGGAAATCCAGAGCCAGCTGACCAACTGGAAAGGCCCTGATCTGATTGGCTACGGAGAGTTGGTTCTTGAAGGAACATTTCGTCTGCAGCGAGCCAAGAACGAGAGAACCCTCTTCCTGTTTGATAAGCTTCTGCTGATTACCAAGAAACGAGAAGAAACCTACACGTACAAGGCTCACATCCTGGTCAGTCGTGTCGCTCGAACCGCTACCCGTCCCCAAAGACACACTAAGCATACAAATGTTTCTGCTCAGCGACAGTTATCTTTAACATGACGTCTTACCTGTCTGTTTCAGTGCTGTAACCTGATGCTGGTGGAAGTTATTCCTAAAGAGCCACTGAGTTTCAGTGTGTTTCACTACAAGAATCCCAAACTGCAGCACACAGTCCAGGTATAACAACACTGCATAATGAAGCACATGTCATAACAAAAGCGAAACACATTGTGGATGTAATTACATGTTTTAAACTGTAGCCAGCATTGTGCAAGAGTGCAGTCAGAAAGTGTGACGATTATTTTGCAGGTGTCTGATTGTTTTGTAGAACATCCAGGCTCACCTCACTGCGTTGCTCAGACATGTTGAGTGTTTAGAGGCTAATGGAGGCCATTGTTGTTACCTAACCACTGTGGGCAAGCACTGAAAAAGATAATGTGTGTGATGTAAGAGAGCCGTGTTCAGATTTTTTGAAGGGGCTCATCCCAACCCTCTCAGCTGCCTTTTAAAGTGCATGTCTGATAGCATCTTCTCTGTGATGCCTCCTAGGCCAAGTCACAGCAAGACAAGCGCATGTGGATCTTACACCTGAAGAGACTGATACTTGAAAACCATCCTGCCAAAATCCCCGCCAAGGTAAGAGCACCTCGTCTCCTGACGCCTCCCTCTCTGTCCACTAATGGCGTAAACACAGACTTTGAGTGGGATGTGTTGAAAATGTCACTCCCTCTCGCCTCCTTCCTTTTTTTCCCCCATCTTCTCCATCTTTTCTAACCCCTGCTTTTTCTCTTAACTTTCCTTTCATGCGCTCTGATTTTTTGTCACTCATTTATTCTCATTCAAACACAATCTCTTTTCTGTCTCTTCTTCTGCCTTTGGACATGTGCAAATGGAAACTGATGATTTCTCTCCAGTTGTGAAGGTCACTGAGAAAGTTCACTGTTATTACATAAAGGGGCTGCTTGTTAAGTGAAACTGTTGAGTTGTGTCTGTGGTGTGTCGCCACCTAGTGTCCGACCTAATGTCCATCCATGATCTAACCTGTTGAACTTACTCTCGTTTTATTGTTCATTTCTAGGCCAAGCAAGCCATTTTGGAAATGGATGCAATGCGTAAGTGAATTCACACGAAAATAGAAGATTGATAGATATAATGTATTAATTAAATTTCTACTATATTTTTAATGTTGTGTTCTTTTTTCATAGGTTTAATCATATTTAATGTATTTTAATCATGTAATGTAATTGTTGTGTGACATCTTTTCGTTAATTTCTCCAGATCATCCTGGGTTTCATTACCGCCCTGATGGTGACAAGAAGGATTCCCCTCAAACCAAGGAAGGCCCGACTCCTCGAAGAGGACGCAGGAAAGGTGAGAAATGTCAAATTTGCTGAATTTAAAGAAATGACGCACTTTGCGTGTCCGAACTGTAAGAGTTCATCATATATTTATTTGTTTGTCTTCCCAGAACCTCTTTCCAAGTTACTGAAGAACGCCAAGCAGAATGCAGCAAACACAGACGGCGAAAAGGTGAGCAATAACCAGAGGTGATGCACGAGAATAAATACACTCACACTGACAGAAATGATCTAACCAAACTCTGGAAACTGTCCTCCTCTGCAGCGAACAAGTCTGGGTGCCACCCTGCTCTCTCCGGTGTCCCAGCTGGCTCTGGGCACAATCGGTCGGAGCCGCAGCCTCATCAACCAATCGCAAGAATCCCTGGACCCCGGCGATCACTTTGACCACAGTGACAGAGAGGAAGGAGAGGAGCCACATCAGCAGGACGCTGACGATGAGGATGACAGCGGTCTGGTGAGTTTAAAGCTGCCCAATGAGTGATAATCATTACATATGCACGCCATACAATTCTACCTTCAACCCCAGTCCCTCAGACATGATGTTAATGCTGAAACTCTGCGTTCAGGGAGGTGGAAAGAGGCTGCGAGTCCCTGGTAAAAGCAGTAGGAAGAGGCTGAACCCTCAGGCATCTGTTGATAGTATAGAACAGTGGAAAACCTTCAACATGAGCCCTTCAGACCTTCAGGTATTAATCACAAATACACCATGGTAATTTAATCTACTTCTATTTTGATGATTTTGGACCAGATGTAAAACAATTTATTTCTTTTGTCTTCCATTCAGAGAGCGAGAGAATCCCTGGTGAGGGAAGGTAGTCACCACCCACCACTCCTCAGGACACCTAATGTGACAGAGGAACCTCCAGACTCTCCTATTCCCTCCGTAATAGTCACAGAAAGTGACCATTCAGTGAGGAACATCTGGGCAGACCATCGGGCTCGTAGGGCCATGTTCCCCACCCGCCAGAGAACCATGCAGCCCGACGATGAGGATGAGGACATCTACCAGATGTTTGTTCCCACAGAGCCCGGTGGACCAGAGCCAGAGGTGCCCTCGGAGAGGTCAGAGGCCACGTCCTCGCCCAGGACAGCTCGTCCCTGCAGCTGGCACGTTGAACAGGTGCCCGCAGTGCAAGTTGACCCCCCACCAGATGGGAGCAGAGTCCTGCGGAGGGCGAGCAGTGCAGGGGAGAAGGTTACAGAGGCTCTCCAGAGCCCTGACGACGACCAGGCCGGTCACAGCAACCTGGGGGTGATCCACACTGAATCATCCAGCAATGACATATCTGGCTCATCCTCAGCCGAGCAGCTGACTATAGACGATATTGAAAATGTATATGACAACATCAGCTATGAGGACCTAAAGAGCATGGGCCTCATCAGGAGAGACCTGGAGGAAAGCCAGTCACGGAAAGAGACATCCACAGATGCAAAGGGTTCCCAGGGCAAGGCAGCAAGGGTACTAAATGAGATGTCAGGGGTCACAGAGCCTATGATTGAACCAGACAGTTCCTCTGAGAGCAACCGGTCCTCCACACAAGAGGGGAGGCAGTTTGGGACATGTGAGCTCAAAATAGTGGAGGAGAACATCTACGACACCATCTGTTTCAGGGAACCACCATCAACTGAGCTTAAAGGAATGAATGACGGCAATAAACTCAAACAAGAAAGGGACAGTCTGCTGGCCTCTGAACAGGACCTGACTGGAAGTCTTGGAGGGTTTGTATCTGAGGAGAGCCTCCACTTTGGAGATGATGAAGGACCTGGCACCTCCCATCCCGTTCGATGTTCCTCTGAGCCAGATTATTCCTCGTCATCAGCTTCCGAGACGTTCTCCCAGCGCTCACAGAAAGGGGACAAGATGTCCGAGCAGGTCGACGAGATCTGGAACGACTTAGAAAACTACATCAAGAACAATGAAAAGAAAGCTGATCGACTTCCTGCTGCCTTCCCTGTTAGTACCAGTGAGTCACCTAATAAGTCCTCGGCAGTCAGAAACAGCTCTAAAAAGAGCCCCCCTGTAACTAGTCCCCAAGCGGCCAGCCCTCCAACTAAGAGTCCCCCAGCACATCAGCCTAAACCCCCACCCATCACATCCACACCATCATTCACCATTCCAGTCATCAACCTCCCTGATCTTCAAAGTGAAAGCACCACTGTAGAAGATCCCCACAGCCCTGCTCCCACTTCACACCCCATTCCCGCGACCCCAGAGCCCCAACCAGGTACAGTGAAGAGCATCCGTAACAGACTGGCTCGCCTCAGCAGTGGCAGCTTCCGCCTAGAGGACGATGACCTGGTGGAGCTTCCTCAACGAAACACCCCTCAGAAAGATATTCCTCTCAAAGACCTTCATAGTTTGTTTCCAGGGGAGCTGGCAGGTCTGGACTCCCCCCTGGCCGCCTCCTCTCTCCTGCTTGGTGAGTCTGTGGACTTCCCCCTGGAACTGATGGACAAAACAAAGAGCAGGGTGTTCCTGATGGCACGGCAGTACAGCCAGAAGATCAAGAAAGCCAACCAGCTGCTGCGCATGAGGAGCATGGACCCCGGAGATTCTTGTAGTCGGGCCAGAGCGGATAGGAAACAGAAAGACCTGGCAGCCATCTTAGAGGAGAAGAAACAAGGGGGCGCAGCCATAGGTAACTCAAAACATTTCGCTCTCAGATAGTTTGTAACTCATTGCTTTATTTGGTTTCCCTTCCTGTATTTCTCAGGGCTCATACCTTCTTTGCATCCTCTGTGTTCCCTCTTCAGGTGCAAGAATAGCAGAGTACTCGCAGCTCTATGACCAGGTAATGTTTAAGGATCCTCCTGCTGGTCAGACCTCCGCTACCCCACACTACTCCCATCATCCAGGGCTGCCGTCCTCCCCGTCCATGCCTGAGACCTCCCTGGAGGAGGACTGGCTCCACTGCACGTACAGCAATGGAGAGCTGGCCAGCTTTGTCTCCTCAGCCAGCGAGGTGGGGGACGCTCGAGCGTCTTCCACCCCACAGCGCAGACTAACCTCTGCCTGCTCCATCCCTTCTCTCAAGACTTTTCCTTCCTCTCCAACCACCCCACCTTCCCAGAGGTGGAGTTCGTGCATGTCGTCGCCAAGCGAGAAAGAGGAGCACGTGTACAGTTCCATTAAGAGACATCCGTCCTTTAACGCACCATCTTTGCCCCCCACGAAGTCTTCCCCATCCGATCACTGTCAGTCGGTCAGCTCTGTGGCAAGCCAGCAGGAGGAGAAGAACAACCAGTCTGGACTCAAATGTAACAGACCCACTGTGGATCGATCCACAGATAGACTCCATGGCCCTAGTCTGGGCCGGGCTGGCCGGCAGAGTAGCCTCCCAGAGCGGTCTACCCAGGGACAGTCGGACCTCACTTTACACGACGGTCAGCAGGTGGTGGTCTTGAATCGGGCATCTGCACTGAGCATACTCACCGCCACTCAGAACTACCTGGCCAACTTCAAGGACAATGGGGAAGATGACGATGACTATGTCGAGATCCGCTCAGAGGACGAGAGCGAACAGGAGTCCGACAGATTGGCGCAGAGAAATGGCAGCTCAGCGGTTCTCTCCAATCAGAATCGGGGTCTTGTCCAGTCCCAGAGTCTGCCGTGCAGCCCGGTGCACTCCTGCGACTCGCTGAGGTCTCTGGACCGTGAGAATTTGGAGAAATACCTGTGGAGTGAGCCGCAGCAGAGCCACCCCAACATCGTCCAGTCTCTGAGGGAGAAGTTTCAGTGTCTGAGCTCCAGCAGCTTTGCCTGAAGCTACACGACGACTAAAAGCCAAATATATACATTAACATACAGCATATAGAAAAAAAAGGGGCACTGCAGCTTTGCATTGAATGCCCTACATAATACAACATCATAGTCCACAAACAAATACAAATATTACACGTTATTAAACATAACACACATGTCAACATAGATCAGAAGCAATTTCTTTGATTTCATCCATATTTGTAACAAGTTCTGTGAATACCTATACTTTCTGTTACATGGCTTCAAAGTAAAACACATGATAGGTTACTATTAATGGTCAAAATGCCACATCAATGCGTGCATGTGAGCTGCCTTAGCACTTCCAGGTTCAAACAGTCCTCTCATGTATGTTTTAAAGAGTAGTGATCTGGTGGGGGAAAGTCAACAAGTAGTGGTCAAAGCAAAAAAAAAGTTATCAGGTGTTTGTAAAGGCATTCAGTATGACTGAATGGGTTTTATTATACAAAGGAATTCAAACTCTTTTAGCCTTGTAGAGATATGCGGAGGACTTGTGCCAATAAACTGTTGTACAGATACAGTAGTTCAGGATATCTGTTTGAGTCTTTTCTGTGCCCAACATCTCAAACCGAAGTACAAGCATCAAAACTTTAGATGACCTTTGGTGGATGTTAACTCTCTGTGTCAGGAATACCTCGTGAATCGTGAGGTCTTTTAATTTACTCTTAAGGTTATTTTAACTGCGTTTTCAACACTAGTTAAACCTGTATAGGAGAAGTGAACCACAGTGGTGGCTAGTGTTTTTAATTGTGCTTACACTATCAAACAGTTCTGAACAAGCAGCTTTACAAATGTGCAGTTCAAACTTGCAGTCGTCACATTTGCTACTCAGGCTAGTTTGTCACTTTTAACAGCTTTTTTAGCAATAACTGTAACAAAAAGGATGCAGCTGTAAAGAGAACATGTTGGCTATTACAAGATCCAATAGGTTAAGTATAACTAGACTTAGACCAATAAGTCTATTTGAACTTATTCCATTTCACTCTACCTACCACCTTTGTCATGAATAGGGTATTGTGCTTTAAAATCAAGAGAAGATGCTGATATTTTAGAGAATCTATAAGAAACAGTAGGACTTCATATTTATTTTGAATCTGTGAGCAAATCAGAGATGTTTTTACGTTTAATCGATGGAGTGAAATGTGCATCTCAACAAGTGGATGATGTTTTTTTTTTTTTTTAATCATACTAAGTTTAACCTTTGTTTTCCAGAGGGACCATAAAGAAGAGAATTAAGGGGAGTTAGTTAAAAAACTACAGTACTGTATTTGGTGTATTTTTTTTTTCATTCAAATTGATAGTCGACTGTTTGTTTACTTTGTTTACGTTATGGGACACTCCCAACTGTCACACTACTGATTTTGCATCCACTCTCACAGAAAGAAAGTCTCAGCAAGAGAGTTGTCAGTCACTTCAATAAGGTTCATACAACAAGATTGTTTTCTCTTACCTTGAAGCACATCCAGTCTTTACCACACACTTGTTGAAATGGCTTAATTTCTTTAAAAAAAAAAAATTCACCAAATCTGTCCTATTTATTTGAAAGCATCCCTATGTTATTGCCCATTATCACTATTACTTCAAACCACAGACAGGTTGTAAATGAAAGTAAAATATATTTATTAAAAGATGGTTTTATTCTCATTTAAGAGCACTCACAAAATTTGAATCGGATACTGTGAATATTTTCAGGAATGGCATTTCATTTTCTATCACGCACTGCTTAATTACGTTAAGTTCCAAAATCACTAAAACACGTGAAAAGTTGAAAAGCACAATATCAAGGCCTACTGTTCATATCAGGAAATGTGCATCAAACACAAGTTAGGAATATGAAGTATGTTTTTTTTTTTTGTGTTGTTTTTTTTTTGTTTGTTTCGTTTTTGGATATTTTTATCCTCTGTTTCACTGGTGGGGATCGTCAGTCTTCATTGACTCTTTTTTGCACTTTTCTGTCTTTTTTACGTTTTATTTGTAAACACTTTGTAAAGATGTACATTTTAGGAAAGTTATTCTTGTATGCCATAGGTATGCTTTATAATGCTTTAATGTTTAAGTTAAATGTACTGTATTTTTTTAACTGCCTAGTTGTCATTGCTCAACAAAACAATGTATTGGAGGAAATAAATTCAGATTAAACTTATCTTTGTGTTTTCATTGAATAAAAATGTCATCACATTGATTATAGTACAGTGCAGCAGTGGATGGCCATTCATCAGTGTAAGTGTTCAACGCTTATGAAGGAACTGAGACATCCAATACAAAGCAGCCTGAAAATAGGATAAGATCTGTGATGATAATCATCATTTTATTAGATAATCATTTACTATCACAACATGCTCAGTGGTTGATAAAAAATAATTAATTCTCTACCCAAGATGTATTTGTTTTTATCACATGATGAGAATATCAGGTTATATTCTTGTATAGAATATAATATGGATAATACCACAATCCATTGAGGTTTCAACAAAATGCTTGGTGATCAATTGGTTATTACATTTTGCTAAATATATAAAGAATTAAATTTAATTATACACACACAGGTGCAATTATTTTGCAAAAAAAAAAGTCGAAATCAGGTATGTCCTCAATGATAAGGAGTGAAGCCAGACCAATGAGATTTTTGATGCCAATAACTCATTAATTTATTTACTCATTAAGTTATCTAAATTTGAGTTTAAATTTGTTTAAAGATTTATGATCAGGATTTGTACTAAACAGGACATTTTACAGTTGCCTTGTCAGTGCTCTCTGGTGGACAAACTATTTTATGACAACACATTTTCTAAATTACCACAGACAGATCTTTGATATTTCCAAACTGCAATTTCTTGTTACTATTGATGTAGCTGATATTTGTGAAAAGTATTGGTTGAGGAAGTAATAATACCACACTATTGAAATACTCAATTACAAGTAAAAGTCCTACACTGAAAATGTTAGGCCTACTTGAGTGAAAGTATGTAAGTATAATCAGGAAAATGTACTGACAGTATTGAAAGTTTTATTCCAGAAAAATCTCCACTGTGACTGATTCACAATCACTTCAGAAAATGATGGGAAATGCTGATTGAATTAACAAGAGCCAAAGTGACACCTTCAGACAGTCACAAAAAATCACAAAATTATTCAGTTTACTGTAATTTCAGCAGCAAAATCTCAGCTTTGAGAAGTTGGAACTATGAAATGTTTAAAATGTTGCATGAAAAAACAAAACATCAAAATAGTTTATATTTTCTGTTGGGTGACTAATCAATTAATCAACAAATCACTGCAGCTCTAATTATATGTGTGGTTTATTAATGGTTGGTTAATCAAAACAGCACATCATATTTTATGAACTCCAGTATCTAGAACTATTTATTAGCTCAGTGACTACAAAAAAAATGTAGTGTAGTAAAAAGTTTGATATTTCCCTCTGAACTATAGTTGAGCAAGTATAAAGTAGCATGAAATGAGAATACCCCAAATTTATACTCAATTACAGTTGAGTAGATGTACTCAGTTACATTCCACTACGCTTGAAGATTCAAAATCAGCTGTCATATTAGCTCAGGGACCTTGCAAATCATCTGAAAAGAAATCGACAACATAAGAGGGAAAAGACCAAAAAACCTTCAATATTGTAGCGCTTTATCGTCACAGTGAAATCAGCAGCAGAGGGCGCGCTGGCACAGAGTACCATAAATTACAACTCATCCACAGAGCCAAGAAGAATAAGGAGCCGGCGGTGCAGTGGTTTGGTGGCATGCTGGGAAATATAGTTTACGAGTACAACATAACAAAATGTAATTTTCTAATTTGATAGGGGAACTGGTTGACATGAAACTTCATTGCAAATTAATTTCATATTAAGTTCCATTACGTAATTAAAAGCGTACACAGTTCAACGACCGGGGTTTTCAATAAACTTTCTTCTCGAACCTTCTGGTTAATACCGGTTCACCCATAGTGCACTGCGCCGCTTCCTTTCTTCTCGGTTGCGTGGTGGTCCAAAATGTCGCTATTAGAGGGTCCGTTAAATGTGTTCGGCCAGAGAACATCTGGCGAGTCTGTTCGCACTCAAAATGGTGAGTTATTGTGCTGCTTTGCTTGGTCTTTCAGATAAAGCTAACGTCTTTTCGGTGCGTTTCCAACGCTCAACAGGAAAACCGATTCATTTACTGCGCTGAACACACGTGTGGCTAATGCTAACGCTAACAAAAACGAACGTTGACTTTAAGCCTCTGCTACGTTTCTTTTGAGATTCTGCAAAGCACAGTCAATGTGCTCCTAACGCCAGCAACATTTATTATATTTTAACAATCCCATTTAAGTACCTTTCATTCGCACCACCATGAATGGACGGCTATGCTAATGGGATAGAAAAGACACTGTCATGATCTGAAGGTGTGGCCAGCTGACTGTGCACCCCACTTAATAAAGTGACAGAATATTGCATTGCTAGAAGTGGCATTAAATGTTAGTCTAGACATGTTAAAGGATGTAACAGCCGTCTAAAAACAACAGCTAGTAGCAGCTCCCTTCTTTTCTTCTCAGTCATGGCGGCATCATCCATCGCCAACATCGTCAAGAGCTCCCTCGGACCCGTTGGCCTCGACAAGATGTTGGTGGACGACATCGGGGTAAGCGTAACATTTAACATTCTCTACACCTTTTCTAACGGTCTCTTGACATGACAGCAAATATTAAGTTCAGTTGTATCTTATGGTTTTTGACAGGACGTGACCATCACCAACGATGGAGCAACCATCCTGAAGCTACTGGAGGTGGAGCACCCAGCTGCCAAGGTCCTGTGTGAACTGGCTGACCTGCAGGACAAGGAGGTCGGAGATGGGACCACGTCTGTGGTGAGTAAAGGCAACAGCTGCTCTGACCTGTTGAAGTAGACCAGAGTGCCGAGTGACTTTTTAGATTATACTTGTTATTTCTGGCTGTACACAGAGCACTTAGTTGCAGAAAGTGAATTGTAATGTCCTGTTTTAGTACCATGCATCTGCCTTTTATTACGGATGTGTGGCTATGCTAACAGGAAAGATGAACTGCCCTTCAGTATCTGAAGGGGTTGTGCAGCCTCATTTCTGCCACCCCTAATGAAATGATGGCACAGTGTGAATTCCATAACTTTTAACTCTTTGCTATGGATTTAAGGAAACCGGTTATACTGTGTATTGTTTCATATAAAGTATGCCATGTGACATTCTTGTAGGTAATTATTGCTGCAGAGCTGCTTAAGAGTGCAGATGAGCTGGTGAAGCAGAGGATTCACCCCACGTCAGTCATTAGCGGATACCGTCTGGCTTGCAAGTAAGATGCTTACATTTAGAACCAATCTTGCAGTCTCCCATTGTTTTCATCATACATTTGATCTATTCAGGTTTTCTTAAATGCAAACTTGTTTTTTTTTTTTTTTTTGTCTTCCAGGGAGGCAGTGCGCTACATTAATGAAAATCTCACTATTGGAACAGATGACCTGGGCAGAGAGTGCCTAATCAATGCAGCCAAGACCTCCATGTCCTCAAAAATCATTGGAGTGTATCCTTCCCTCACTATGAGGCAGTGTAGAAATGTTTTGTTGGGACTCAACCCCCAGAGTCACATTTATTTATTTTTTTGCATGTGAGTAAAGGAATTCTTTTCTGCTGTCCTTATCTGCCTTGACTCCTGAGTCTTCAGTGATGCAGACTTCTTTGCTAACATGGTGGTGGATGCTGCCATGGCTGTGAAGTTTGTGGACAGCAAAGGGGTGGCCAAATATCCCATCAACTCTGTCAACGTGCTGAAAGCCCATGGCCGCAGCCAGAAAGAGAGCTTCTTGGTTAATGGATATGCACTGAACTGCACAGTTGGCTCACAAGGTGCGTTTGATACAAAGTTCACAAATTTGTAATGCTACAATCCAGCTGATTGAACTCCCATTTAAATTTGCTGCTATGTCTTGCCTGGTGGTGTATGCAGTGATACGCGTGGGAGACAGTATGCTGGCTTTGAAAGGAATGTAGTCACAGTAGTTTGTAAACTGTGGCACCTCTTTTCTGGCCAGACAGTTGAATATTAACCTTAATTTAGGCCACATTTGTTTCAGTACCTTTATGATTCTTGTCCCCATCCTGTTCTTAGTTGCTCTTCAGTTATTGTTTATTAAACATGCTGTTTTCTGTTTGTCCAAAGGCATGGTAAAGCGTGTTGTTAACGCCAAGATTGCTTGCCTGGACTTCAGCCTGCAGAAAACCAAAATGAAGATGGGAGTCCAAGTCGTTATTAACGACCCAGAGAAGCTTGACCAGATCAGACAAAGGTTAATAATTATGCAATATTTTTCTCTCTTTTGTTTTCTCACATACACACATTTAAAAAAAAAAAAAAAAAAAAAAAAATTCTTCCCATTTAAATTTGCTGTGATGCTGACTCAATAGTTTGCACAGTGATACGCGTGGGAAAAAACATAAGCAGCCATGAGTCAAGGCAGCAGCTTCTCTCTGAGCTGTTGGACCACTCTTGTGGACTGGACAATGTTTCTATAATGCCTTTGTATGTGTACTCCACAAGTTGATTTAATCACAGTTTTGTCACGATACTGAGCACAGAACTAAAGTTAAAGTTGATTATTTAATCATTTATATTGGTCTTGCAGACCTGTGACATTGAATACTATGTATACGTTGTATTGTCTGATTGTTGAGATTGAAATAATATTTTGTTACCTCAGGGAATCTGATATCACCAAGGAGAGAATCCAAAAGATTTTGGCAGCAGGTGCCAACGTTATCCTGACCACTGGTGGCATTGATGACATGTGTCTTAAGTACTTTGTGGATGTAGGAGCCATGGCAGTGAGAAGAGTTCTTAAGAGGGACCTCAAACGTATCGCCAAGGCAACAGGAGGTAAGAAGAGAGCATGCTGTAGTTTTTTTAAAAGCATCTTAGTCATGCTCTGATTCAAAGTGAACTCATCACCATCAGCAGTCATTTACATTAGCTGTGTTTTATTTTCCATTCTCAGCCACTCTTTGCCCATCTCTGACCAACCTGGAGGGAGAGGAGACATTTGAGGCCACTATGCTTGGCCAGGCCGAGGAGGTTGTGCAGGAGCGCATCTGTGATGACGAGCTCATCCTCGTCAAGAAGTAAGAACTGCAA